TTAGGAATGTCGTTTTTACGTAACGAATTTAGAAAGAATTCTTTGTTGTCTTGGAGGATCACGTGATACGATCGTTGAATCTAACGTGGAAAGCACGAATCACACTCGTGGCGAGCCAAAAGATAACGGATATAACACGTATGTGACACGAATGGCATCGTTAAATTAAAATAGTAATTTCAAACGATCCCGCAAAACAATTAAAAAAAAAAAAAACAAAAAATAGAAAAACGAAAACTTTAACATTAAATCCAATCCTATACATTTAATCATAAAAGAAGAAAAAAAATTTACCAATTCTCCTCTTAATAATTTCCATTCGTTAATTTTACTTTTCCATCAAAAACACGTTCCATTATTAATAAAAAAAAATTACCTTCAATCTCTCCCTTAAAACATCCGCCGCTTAAAAAGAATTAATATTCCACTCGCTAATTCCTCCCCCCTCCCCTTTATCGATCAAAAATTCCATTCCACCTCCGTAACAATCAAGAGTCCCTCCCTTCTTCCCCTCCAACTGAGAGAGCAGGCCGATTATTAAAGATTATCCAACGGAACCGTCGCCGAAACGCGCGCGCCTTAATCCTTTGATAATTACGGTAAATTGAATCCCGGCCGACGGGTTAGGACGGGCGGGGTGTACGTACGTCGCACGGGGTCGCGGCGTGCGAGTCGGCTGAGTTATCACCGGGTGCCAGGAACAGGGCCGGCGGACCTCGTGACCCGATATTGCGCCGGAACCGGGAGCCCCGATATTGGCAGCACTTCTCTCAGGAACGGGGAACAATAGGAGCGGTGGCGTGTGCGCGCTATCTCCCCCTTTTGCTCTTTTGCTCGAAAACTTTCAGTCAAACCGAGTATCCTCACACGGGGAGGGGAGGAGGGGAAGGGAAACACAACGCCATTACCCAACCTAAACTTACCTCGACTATCAACTTGGTGTTTCGCGCGAAAAAGGATCGGCATCGCGGTCGAAAATAGATTCGGCGTGAACCAAGGAATGGCGAGAGGGAGGAGGGAGGAGAAAAATTGGTTCCTCTTGGGGCTAAGGATTTTCGTTTCACTTCTGTTCGTTACGTTTGCCTCTTGCAGTTATCGAGTTGTACTCGTGTGGATGGACGGCGTGTGTGCGCGCGGTTTCGATCGAATGTGGTTTTAGAGAGTTTATGAGTTTTCGGAGAATCCTAACCTCTCCGCGTTTCCGCGAACGTTCTATTGTGCTTTTCTTCCTTCCCTTCTCTTTCTTTCTCGTTTTTACGGCCACGGGTTCTGTTGTTTTCCTTTTTTCCCCGCTCTTTCTTCTCTTTTTTTTTTTTTTCCTTTCTCCTTTCCGTCTTTTCGATTTAAGCGGATTTAATATTTCGATCGAACGTAGAGGGGATTCTAACCTCACATTTGACTCTTGAAATCGGAGATTATTATATAAAATGATAGTTCTGCTTTCTCTATTTCTATCTAAGTGAAAGGAAAGAAAAAAAAGAAACTTTAATTTTCCAATTACAGAGAATCTTAACGTATAAATAATATATATATATATATACACACATAGTTTTAACCTTTAATAAAAATAGCGATAAAAGTATATATAATCGAACGAAATACGAGATTCTCGGCTCCATTACCAACGCTTTCCCTTCCCCCTTAAATAACGATTAGATCGATCGACCATCGATATATCTGCATACGAATGGAAACGCAGCAATCGATAAAGTTTCCCATCTTTCGTTCCACGATTAATTCCACGGTTTTTAAACGGTTTTCCCATTCTTTCCCCGCTTGAATCTTTCCGTTCACTATGGCGCGCGCGCGTCATCGATTTCAATCGCCGGCGGGTGAGGGAGGGAGGGAGGGAGGGAGGGAGGGACGGGCACATTTTTCACACCCGGTATATGTAGCCACGGTCTAGACGCACGGACGAGAAAATGTTATTAAGCGGCCGGTAGAATTTTTGCATGCGCACGGTGACGGTTCGTATCGTCCCGGGTACTAATGGACTGCGACGTTTTTACAGGGGGGACTAAAAGCTCCGGCCCATAAAAGTGACGTTTCGCGTGCAAGCTATTTATTCTTTGCACACCGTGTTGGCGGCCGGCTGTTATTGCTCGTCTCGCGCGATAAGCTCGCGAACGTTGCGGTTCCACGATTTCCGTTTCGATTTCTAGGTACCATCGATCGTAGGTGGTCTTCTTCTTCGATGTAGAAATTTTCAGGCCAATCTCTTATTTTTTAAAACGGTGTCGAGTCGGTTAGTCGACCGATGCCGAATGAGAAAAGAAGGGACAGTTTCGTATCTTTTATTAGAGTAGTTTTCTTTTTCTTCTGGAGTATTGCTAGAGATTTTGTAGACCAATCGAGCTCTCTAAATTTCTTGAATTAACGTTATTTTGTTATGAATGAAGAGAAAAGATGGTGATATAATATATGAAATCTATTTTCGTAATTATATTATTATGTATCAATTTTAGAATACATATGAATTTTTATTTTGTTGCATTATTGGTTTCGAAAATTTAATTAAAATTATTACTTTTACGTAAAAATGTTACACACGAATGATTAAAGTTAAAATACTGCTTATGAAAATGATTGGATGCGTATAATTACGTTTTTACTTGAATAGAAATTAATTTTTCTAACATTTTTTAATAATAATTGTGAGAAAAAAAATCCATAGATAATCTTGCTTTTAAAGATACATTAATAATACAATAATAATATCGAAGCTTTTATTCATTCTAAATTTTACTATGCAAATTTCGTTACTTTACAACAATTTTTCTCCTCGATTGTTCTACAAATATTCCTTCATTTCACCACGCGTGTGGCGATCGATCGAAAACTACAATGAATTGAAAGTAAAAAAAAAATATCGATCCAAAGGTCAAAGTTGGGGATAATTCCGAGCTATTGCGTATCGATATAAGATATTCAGCAAACGGATCAAAGAAAATTACCATATTACCATGGAAATTCCATTCAGAGAGTTCGCTTCGTTAGAAATTCGAACATAAAGGCGGGCTTTTCACCAACATCTGAAAGCTAAACCTCATCGTAAAATCGGGGAGCTACCTTTTGAAAAGGGTAGGGCCTCCTCCCCTGGCCAGACTGAAAGGAGCCAAATGACATTGAAAATTTTTCCCCGCAGTCACAGAAACGCATCCTTCTAACGTTCCAAGCCTAACAAAGTACAATTATCCGTGCAAAGTCAACGTGCAAAGTAACATCCATCGTTAAATGCCTTTTTCTCCCTGTTTTTAAAGGTAGATCCGTGTTTCCATCCGTGCGCGGACGCGTCACACTTTCGAATTCGCCTTTTCATATGCAAAGTCCTCGTATTTTCTCGTTTACCCAACCGAGCATTGCCCCCTACATTCGCGCGCCGATCGTCCGTTTTCAATAACCGATTACGCTCGTCGCCGTTTCCCAATCACTCTGAGATAATATTTTCCTAATAGGTGTCATCGTGACGAAAGCCACGATGAGATTTCTTTTCAGGTGAACGATCTCTACAAGGAACAAGAAAGGTATCGTATTCGTTCGAGCATCGACGTTAGAGAAGCGTAAAAATGCTCGGAAACGAGTATACTCTTCTCTCACGATTTTTTTCAAACTTATTTCTGAATTTCTGCTCGATTTCATCTCTCCAGATCTCCAGATTTTTCTGAGTGGAAAAATCTCTCAGAAAGTGAACAAAGTTAAAAAAAAATTATACAAAATGAAACGGAGCCTTCTTTTAAAATCTCGTGGAAATGGATTCGTGGAATAAAATTGTAGGGGTTGCAGGAGTTCGAGCCGGTTCTTCGGCCGATTTCTATGCAAAAATGGGGTGGATCAGTGCTCGAAACACGAGAGCTCTAAAATTATTTTTTTTCTCGAGACGATCGTCTTGGAATTCGCGCCATCGGAGATAGGCTCGGTGAATAAGGATCGACTTGGCAGAAAGGGGCACATTCTCTCGATCTCATGCAGCGAGCATGGAAGATCAGATCGAGAGAGTTTTCAGGAAGATGTTGAACAGATATTTTCCAAACGTGTGAAACGTATTCCTCTTTCTTTTTTTTTTTTTTTTGAATGATGGAGTTTAAAAGGATTGATGAAAGAACCAGTTATGTTATCCCAATCATGTGTAAAATTAAATAAAAATTCGAATTCGATATTTATTCTATATTATATTATATATTATCAATTAGATATATGTATATATATATATCGACAAAATCGATAATAAAATATTAGATTCTCATTCTGCTTCCTTGTATGAGAATATTTAGTGAGAAAACGACACAGAAATCATCACACGTATCCAACAAGAGATTTCCTCTCAGTTGATCTCTATCTACCTTTGGTTTCCAAATTTTCGTGTAAATTCTTTAAACCCAGAAACTATCCATGAGGAGATCGGAAGTTCGATCGGTTTCATCATAAATTAATTTTACTTCCAGTAAATACTGGTGTACGGTTTCCAAAGTTTCCATTGTAACAAGCAGCAGGATGTATCATCTCTAGTAGACTCTATCCGCGCGTTAACTAGGCTAGAAGTTCGAAGTACTCCGTCTGTCGAATTAATTCCGTTCGAAACAGCTCTTTTCCAAGAGCTTTCCCTCGAAAATCTTCCAGTCACGTCTGATTCTTGATTCTTCTTCGAGTCGTGATCACGCCACCGTGCCTGACCGAGGCCTGACTGCTTTCTTTCTTTCTTTCTTTCTTTCTTTTTTGCAAAAGAGTCGTCTCGACGACACCACGTTCCAATTACCTATCTATCGATCTATTTTTTTTCCCCGATGCGGCGCGACCCGTTGGCTCGTTCGTGATTCCACGTGATTCGTTTGATCCGGATCGTGCGCGAGCGGATCCATTATAAAAAAAACCGTGGATGCTTTTCAGACAGGAGGAAAATCTTCTAAAGAGAGGAAAAGCTGAAGGGAGGAGACGACGGAAGGGGGGCTGGTACCGGTGACCCAGATGCGCACGCGACACGAATTCTAGGGAGAGAAAAAAAACGACAATAATGAGGAGACCAGAGATTAACTGCAACCTCGACAATAAACACGTAAGACTGATGCGGATCGATTAGAATCGGAGGAAGAGAAGCAGAAGAAGAAGAAGAAGAAGAAAAAGAGGAGGAGGAAGAACGAAGTATATATTTTTGCGATTCTATTTTGGAATAGAAATACGCGAGGAGATTGAGGTGAAAGGGAAGAAGATGGAAAGAAAGATGTCGAACAGTTTTTGTACCAAGATTTGTACGATGAATTTCTATCGAGGAGGAGAATTTTAATTGAGAGAAAGGAGTGGAGCGAAAGGGGAATCATCACAGAAGCGAAGAAGAGATGTCTCTGAATCACAGATATTACGTGAGTAACGATTTCTTTTTTTTTTTTTTTTTTTGAGAGAGAAATTTTTGTTTTTTCAAAAAATAGAATTAGTTATATATCTTTTGATGTAACGCTTTTACATTACATCTTTTGAATAATTTGAACTTTTTCGCTTGAAATATTTTCCTCTACGGAATAAAAAAATATCGTTACCATTCATTTTACCCTTCTTATATCATAAAATCTTAATTGCAGCAAATAATATTATCGAAATAAAGTGAAGCACGTCTTAAATTTTTAATATTCCTAATTAACATTTTTTTAATTCGATATTATTATTATGAAATGAAACAGAAAACGTATCAGTATCAGAGCTATTTACCGATGGAAAACAATAGCGAAAATGGAATGAATCAGTGGGATAAGAGGCGTTCTCCCTTTACTTGAATAGGAATAAGGGAGCCGTGGTCCGATAAACGTTATTCCACTTTCGATAATATTTCTCCTTCGTGGCCCACGGTTAAGATGTTTTCACGGATTGATAGGACCGCTGTTATTTCCCCTCTTTTGCTCAACTTTTCAGTCTTGGGAGCCCCGAAGGAGTTGCCGCCAACTGGAAAGTCGGTTACTGGGTTGAAATCGTTCCGAAAGCGAAAGACAAATGTTGGATGACCGATTTAATATTAAAATATTCCATTATTTCCCGATCGTGTCTAGGGGAATCATCCGATGAAATTATGATCCCGTATGCTATGCTCTCCTAAAGAAAAAATTTTTTTCGTTAGATACTTGCGATTATGAAGTTATTATTATGATTCCAACAGTTTATGCAATTTATGGTAGCGCGAAATTGATAAAAATTGTTCAAATTGTTATCTAAATATCGTTGCAGAAGAATTATTTAACATTTATATGCATAGATAACTTTTTACAACGACCCGGAAAAAGAAAAGAAAAAGAAGAACAAGAAGAAGAAAAAGAAGAAGAAGAAGAAGATAACGCAATAAAAATAAAAAAGAGAAAGCTTCGACAGTTATATTCTACGCAAATTAGTAACCACAAATGCCGCTTATTTCACAAAGCTGAGTTAATATTCCAACATTTTTAAATTTCAAATTTTATAATTTCTCTTCTATTTTCGTCGACGAGAATTATTCACACTGTACTCGCATTACACATACCGACAATTTTTTTTCTTTTTATCTTCAGAATATTACATCCCCTTTCCTTACCTCACGTATTGTTATTGCCAGTCAGAGATAATTACAACAAGCACGATACCAACACGCACACACAATGATACACCCTGGCTCGCTTCAGACCAGTCAAAATCATCCCTTCACCCATTGAAACTACGATACAGACAAAGGAACATAACTCAGCAATTTGATCGTCACAGGATCAAACTACCCTTAACTTTCTCTCGACAATCGATACCCTGATACCCACCATTGTATCGCGCTCGAGAATTGAACAAGTCCGAGGATAAATCGTTATCTCCTCGAACCAACGTTCTAATCCTTCCAGGGATCCTCCTCGTCTCGCAACGAACGTGAGTGAGATTTCTTGCGAGAGCAAGAATCTTCTCGTCTTACCGCGTGATTTCATCCTTCAGAATGCTCTTCGAGATTATGCTCGAGCGACAAGATCGGTATCGTTTCGAGAAATAAACTGGAGTTTCGAAATGGCGTGCAATAAGCATATGCACGATGATCGAACGACTTGGCACGAATTTCGTTCAAATTTTATCTATATATTTTTATTTTTATATTAATGGATATCGCGTTTGAATAATCAGTGATAATCTGGATGGATAAAATATTTGACAGTGAAGTTTATAAAATTTTGGGAAAAGTTTTTTTTTCGATTAAATCCTCGTTGAATTTTCTAATTTACCGTTGAACAATGTCGATCCTTTCACGACGTGATAATTACAATTTAATTCCCATTGCTTTTTATACCGCATTCCACACTTTATGTAGTGTAGTAATAAACTAAACGAAGTGTAAATTACATTTTAATTATCGTGCCTCCGATTTACCGTTCGACCAATGAATGTCAATTTTCCCGGGACAATGCGGTAAAACTTTGCATCCAATAATAACGGTACTAAAGTATGAATTACAATAAGAAATAAAATCCTTTTTGCCTCGTTCGAACGATCCATGCTTCTTTTGAAGCGGCGCATCAAAGATGTCAAGCTATTATCTCGCAAAATTCTATTACATACCGGATGTCGGTGTTAAAAGCACAGTAGCAAAAGTATCGCTTTGAAACACTTGCTATCGCATACCAGGCAATAAACCACGTCCCCAGGATCCTGGCATCCTACACACGCGCGCACACAAGCGAGCGTACAGGGGATTGGATCTTAACGGAGTCGAGACCCATCCTCCATTTCGATTTCTTCCATAATTTGTGTTGAAGAATAATTGAATTTAGAAAGGGGAGAGGCGTTGAAATCAAAAGGTGGAAAAGTAATTTTTTCCCCCCCTTCATCCCTTGTTACATCTTGATTCATTTACATTACGATTCATATTACGAATTTGAATTTTTTCGAGTGGAAGAAAAATGTGATAATCATTCTCGAGAATTATCTATGCTGGATATTTTGTTAAATTGGGATTGAAGAGGTAGAACTTTCAAAAATTCCTTGAATATTACAACTCGGTAAAAAATAAAAAGAAATTCTTAAATTTATGTTATTTAGCAACATTTTCCATTTTAATTTATCATTCGAAGATTCTTCAATGAAAATCTTTGCGGATGTTTGAGAAGAAGTCGCGAGACGTAAAAGTGTTGGAGAAGGAAGGAAATAGAGGGATTATTAGCAGCACGAGGAAAAGAGAGAGAGAGAGAGAGAGAGAGGAGGTGCAGCGTGAAAAATGTGAGGGGGGGAGAGGGTAAAAGTATTGCTGACGCGTTGGAAAAATCGCTACCGTTTCTGGGGGAATAAATTATTGATATACACGGCCACCCTCTCCCCTCCCTATCCGAGTTCGAGACGTTAAAGGGGATCTCTTCTTCGTTCGAGGATGCTCGAGTTATCCGATTATTTCATCACTGGTTATATTATTCTTAAACGAAAAGAAAATGGCGATGAGAGAGATGTAGGAGGAGGGGAAAGATTGAGACGTGTTAAAATTTAACGATATCCGCGATAGAAAAATCTCTAGCCTCTATGATATACGAGTTTTATGCTTAAAGGGAAATCTTAGGATGGATGTCTTCCAATCATAATATTTAGAAAAAACAAATTAAGGATAAGTTTCTCTAACCTCTTGCCCCCCTTGCAATTTATCAATGCCAGATTGTTTATTACTTCTACTTACGTTTCTACGCCTCGAAGAATAAATAGACATAACACGAAATTACATGCATTCTATAATCACGTGTATTTATTTTTAGCGAAAATGATACTTTTTACGATAATTTTACGACAAATCGTGTACACATATTAATAAAATTCTCTCAAACTGTGAATATTAATCAAAAATTAATCGAAAGGAAACGAACATATTGCAAATCATTATTTCGGATCCATTAAATCATTATCGCACGCGTTATTTATTAACGCGATAAATCAAAGGGGATTTGGGGGATGGGCGGGTACTTTGGCCCCGGAAGAAAAACAGATTTTCTAGGCCAATGGCTTCCAAAAGCAATTTTGCCTTCGTACAATCATATTATTAGACATCCACTTTGGAATTCGCATAGATTTCATCGGAGAATTCGCGGTATGCGCATACAGGATATTTCACGCAACCAGGCCGAGTTGTTCGAAAAGGATAGAAAGCGTGGATTTTCTTTTGGCAAAATTGCACAATATCACGATATCTAACTTGACTTTTAATCTCGTTCACATATAACAACCTTCCTCACGTATAACAATCCTTCTCTCAAGTTAAAAAAGTTACGCAACGTTCGATATTACTTCGTTTCTCTTTTCGATCATGTCGTATTAATAAATAAATCGAACATCTGTATTTTGTATTTTGTATCGAGTACAACGTACACTTTCCAACTTTAATCAACTATCGAGAAAATCGTTACGCGCGATCAACGCTTCGAGCCAATTCTCGTTTTCGAAAGAAAAAGGAAAAGGAAACAAAGAACAGGAGAACCTATGAAGGAAAAAGAGCGAAGAGAGAAAGAGAGGAAAAAGACCGTCTTCATTCAACCGAAGAAACGATCGCGTTTATTCATAGCCGCACGATTCACGTGCGTCGCCGAGAGGCAGAAAACGCGCGTGCGATCGCGTACGATCTCTCCTTTTGCTCCTCACCGAACCATCCACTGAATCACCTCCTCTATACGTAGACGCCCACACGAAGACGTCCTCGTCGTCGTCGTCGTCGTTGTCGTCGTCGTCGTCGCATTTTTGTTGCGGCCATCAAGGCCCCCAGACGCCATCGGACGGAGGCCTCCTCGTTCCTCCGCTTCTTTATGCCGCGGATTAATCGGCTTCCCTCTCTTCCCCCTCCCTGCCCCGGGTTACGCGCGTGAAAAATAACGCTCGCGTCGCTTTGTGATCGACCTTTTTGTAACGAGAAATACATTTGTACCGTTCAATTTTGTGCACAGCGTGCAAAAATATTTATTATAAAAGTGTCGGTACTTCTTTCGAGTATGTAATCAAATTTGCAATAAATGATATTCGGATAAGCGGCGGAGTAATATATTCGGAGTTATTAATACTTTCACGAGGATACTTTGCAATGAGAATTTGAAATGGGCAGTTTCGAAATTGCATAACCAATTGGGAATTATATATTCATTTTCGTAAGATAAAAGTGTTATTAATAAATTTTATGGGGTGCAGAAATTATATTTGCGATAGAGAGGGAGAGAGAGACGTTTAAAAAAATTGCGGGTTGAAATGGGATAATATTTAATTTTTGTTCGAAGATGAAAAATATTCGGTGTTATAACAACCTTCCATAACAATTAAAATTTGCAATTAACTAAGTTTCGTTAGAAGAATATTAAAACGCGAACCTGCTTAAAATATTTCAATTACAGATATATATATATATATA